TCTCTCTCTCTCTCTCTCTCTCTCTCTCTCTCTCTCTCTCTCTCTAGTGTAATGTAAGATTGGAAATTGTTGTATTCCGTTATTATCTACATCCTGGGGAAGTATTGAAAGTACGAAGTAAGATCTCAGATAAGTTTAGTTGGTATAGAGGTTGATGGGGAGGAGTGAAGCCTCAGTTGACAGAAACAAACCAAATTCATTATGTCATCTGAGTCTTGATGACAGAATGAATGTATTGTAAACTACAATAAACGAATTCACTAACTTTCACCATGAATGAAAATTATCATTCACTGTCGTCATTTACAAACTAGTATTTGATTTACTACACTAACCCCCCTTTTCCTTCAGTGTATCGTGTGTAGTCACGTTTGACGTCCAATGTCTGTGAGGACAGGGCGGTGTTTGTTGGGTTACAGGCTACAGCATTTATTACGTTTTCGCTTTGGTGTTGCAGAAATGTTTAACTCATCATTGCCAAAAACTTAACCTCCTAAATACAGGACGGGCAAGATGTGAAGCAACAGTTGGGCACGCTATGAAACCTAACGTTAAATTACTTAAGAAGTCTTGCTAACCAAAGCCTACTTAGCTCCAAATGCTAACACTGAGTCTAAAGTGTCTTTTACGCTGTGTTGTAGCTAGCAAAGCATAGCATTTAGCTTTATGTGGCGTCATTTTCTGATCACTGTCAGATTCATGAAAGTTGACTCGTAGTTGTGTTGTATTTCCTATTTATACCAAAGAATATATAGTTAGGACTCTTTGATTGCATTGCCAATCAACCATTTTGGAAACATTTAGCGTAAACTAGCAGCGCATTGTTTGCGAGGGGCGGGTTTAGGTTTTAGGGGTTGGGGCTAAACTGGTAGTTTAAACACCCACCAGGGACGAAGCAGAGGGGGTAAGTAGACAACGTTTATACCGCACTGTGAATGCGTTTTCCAAAGATTTAAGCTGAACGTTATACAACAAACTCATAGTTCTTTATAGAAAACAAAGTTCGTGAACGCAACTGTAACGTTACGTCAAAACAAGTCACGCGCTACATACGTTACCGTTAGAGTACCGTAAAGTTATTTTAGCTCACGTTTTAGCTCGCGCTGTTAAACCGCAACGGCTAACGTCTTCGCTTGTTTCACAAGTTGGATGTTTAGCTAAATTCGTTCCCAAAATAAACTCATCTAGCGTTAGTTAAATCGCAGGGATTTAAAATATACCAGCTTTTCTCTTCGTTTGATTAGTTTTAGACTGGTTTTGTTAACGGTGAACGTTATCGAAGTTGCAAACTGATTTAACTCCAGGTATTTGCGTGGCTGCTAAGCTAACAGATGTATCGATAAACTCATCATATGGCCAAAGTTTAGAACATTATGGAAGTAATTTGGTACATGTTATGTTGTATGGATATTGTACTGTAGCTATCAACACTATCGGATGGTTAGGGAATGTAGGCTATTGGCTTATTGTTTATCTGAAGTGGTAACATAAAGCTATTGTTTCGACCCGACATCGTCCCATCGCCCGGTTTCGTAGTTTCCCCCCCAAGTTAAACGTCACATCCATAGACTAATGCTCCTCCGTCAGTCAATACTGTACGGCCTGTAGACTTTACTGTAAACAGCTGACCTGAGCGCCGAATTGTTTTTAAAAACATAATGTTGCATTGGGGAATTTTTTGGGAAATGCATCAAGGGAAGTATACAATCTCCTAATGAATTACCTAGAAGCAACAGGAATATTAGAGAAAATGTAGTTGTTTCCCCCTGTCACACTCCAGTCCAGTAGGTGGCGGTAATGCGCCTCTAAGCTGGCTTGCCAACCGCCAACAATCGCCGAAGAAGAACTGTTTGTTGTGGAAAAGTGATACAAGTCTAGTTCTGTTTTTACGCATTCAGAGAGAGAGTCCGATCTGCGAGTTTAACTGGTGTTTGAATTAACTGCTATCACGTTTTTTGGTCGATTATAAACGGAACGGTTTACTAGAAAATGAGTTGCACGTGGTTGTGATGCTGAGGATGCTTAGCGAGGACAAGCGTGAATGACAAAGTAGGTGGTAGTTGTGGATGCCTGTTCAAAACTTTTACGTTATTAAATCCTTCACAAAATGCTGTTTTTTGTCAGTCTTATATTTGAGACTTGTCTATACTTTCATACAACCTGTAAGGGAAATATTACAATGAATATAACTTTGGTCCGCTCAGATTAACCTGTTAACTTCTACTACTCCTACTACTACTACTCCTACTAAAAAAAGCTGGTTTTAGAGCACTAATAATCATCATTGCTGTCTTGCCGTCTGTCACAGTGACAGAGTAACGTTAAGTCTAGCTACTATGTAACACAGAGCTTGCATTGGATATTAGAACTTGAATTTGGGCTCTTTTTGACTATAAATATGTAAGGGAGTTACGTTCTTGTAAATGCACAGTGTAATTTTACGTTGTGTTTGTGCAGGTCTGTCCCTTTAGAAGATAGACATGGAAGTGGCAGTGAATGTATATTCGTTGAACCCTGAACAACCGATCTGTCACGAGCTACTGGCTTGGCTCAATGAAACTTTACAGACAAGCTTCACTGAGGTGGAGCAGATATGCACAGGTGGGTCATTGCATGTTTGTAACGTGTAAATGAAACCTCAACAAACAGTCATGAGCTATGCTGTTATAGTATATATTTTGTAAATACTCTAGTCCCCTGACTGCATATTATTGATAACTTTTGTGTGTTTGGATGAATACCCAGGTGCAGCCTATTGCCAGATGATGGACTGGTTGTTTCCCAAGTCCATGGACCTCTCCAGGGTCCAATTCCAGAGCAACAACGCGATGGACACGATCCACAACTACAGTTTACTGCATGCTGCATTCAGAAAAGTTGGAGTTGTGCGAGTGAGTATTGTGACAAAAGTGGTGAACGGATGACCCGTAATTATAAAATATTTCAAATTTGCTCAGTACAATTTAGAACAAGGCTAATAAATCAGCCAGATATTATTTAGCTCATCGCTGATATATTGCTAGCAGTGTTTATGCTGATAAGTAATTAAAAAAGTGTGAAAGACTCGCTAAAACCACTTCTTGGTTTGTCTGATCTGGGTTACTGAAACATGGCGGTGCAACACGGAGGACTCCGTGAAGAGGACCTGCTCTCTGGCTGCGGTCGAAAAGCCTTTTTTAGCTTAGGAAGGTTCTCAGCTGGGTGAAATGAGCCGGAAGTATCTAAGTGGGCCGCCATGGTCGAATTCTCTTAATGCTAAGGAAAGGTGCTTCAATGCTTCCTTTCTTATCAGTACAGTGGACCATCCTTTACGGAAGGAGAGGAGATAATGCCGGCCCACAATTTCTTGCGGCAGCAACATTTAAAACAAAGTAATGTCCTCCGTTGCATCATAATTAAGTAACATACTGAAAGTGCAGACGGATTCTCTGAGCACCGCCACTGGCTTTTCCTAAATCCTTATGAGTTCTCCAACACATCTTTCCTTGACATCATGACGTTTTCTTAATTTCCGGTGATTATACACTGATGAAAACGTAGATAAAAATATTATATTCTATTTCTGCGAATAGATCCTTGTGATCCTACACACTGTGCCTTTACATTTTTGTTTACTGATAGATTTGATCACAAGTATGAGACTAACTGACCTCTTTCCTCTCTCTTAAGTGCATCCCCACCGGGCCCCTGATAAAGAAGGACACCGCAGTGGCTCTGACCTTCCTGCACTGGTTTAAGACATTCTTTGACAGGAACATCAACCGGGACAGGAAGTACAATCCCTTGGAGGCCAGAGGTGGACGGAGTATGGTTCCTGACTCGGGTATGAACAGTGTGGGTCAGTGGATGTATCGCACAATTGTTACACAGATAGCTTACATAGCAAAGGTGTGGTTAATTTAGATCTATAAAATATTGTCTATTTTGTCACTCTTGCATAGCATTAGCAAGCACACTGTGAGATGCAGACTGGTGTGAGGCAAATACTTTTCCTTGTACGATGAAATGCCACCGAAATGTCCCCAAAGCCATACATAGTCGCTCTGACTAGTTATGATATATTTGCACAGTCAATGTTTGGCCATTTACAACCTCTTTCTGACATGCAGTGCACTACGTAACTGTGATGCCAGTTTTACATGTTGAACTTGAACAAGCACCTTTTACATAGAAGTCACAATATCAATCTTTAAACGTCAGATCTAACATTTCTACAACGTTTTGTATTAAAATGCATATTTGCATTTTTAAAAAAAGCATAAAGACCTTAAGAGTACTGTGATAAATGTACCATTTAATTATCTCTATAATTATCATCTCTTGTGCACAAAGACAATACAATCAATGATATTGTTTAAGCATTGTAGTGCTTTCTGTAACACTCTTTTAATGTCTGATTAAAGCCAAAATGAACTTTTATGTAACAGAGACCTATTTGTGACAAAAAATGTGTCTTTACTTTAACAGAGATATTAAGCCGGCAATATTGCGTGTTCCATGTATGAAAAGTACTCATACTGTCTTTTCCCTCCCATTGTAGATGATCATTCCTCCCAGGCCCCTCCTCAGAAACAGCAGATTAGTGTGAAGGCGGATGATAACACAGCAGAAGAACCAACAACAGAAAAACCCACAGAACATTTGAACAAGAATGCAGATTTGATAGTATTGATATCTGATGATGACGATGATGTGACAGTGGAGCTGGAAACAAAGAAAATGGAGACGACGGTGGAAGAAGAACCACAGGAGAAAAAGGGTGAACTAGCAGCAGCAGCGGACAAAATAAATGAAGGTAGCACTGATACTTTGTCATGTTTCATCAGAAGATACTGTAGTGACAATGGACACACACACTTAAATACAAGTACAGACACTCAGGTTTCTGGCCCTTCAGTTTCTGCCATCTTGGGTCCAATCCACCCCACTGACATCCTTGTGGCGTGCTCTCTCACACCGTTCTGCCTCTACCTGTATGTGGGCGTGGAGCTGGACGGAGTGCAGAACATGAGTGTCATCCTGGTCGGCTACTTTGACCAGAGCTCAGGGGTCAGTGTAGTGAGGCCGCTGCTCATACTGCAGATGAGTGTCGATGCTGTTGACCCACAAACCTTAGCGCACACGGACACCGACACTATCGCATCCACTGCAGATGCTGATGCATGCCTGCTGATTGAGACGCTGAAGAAAAGTGGCCTTCTTCTGTCCAAAGTTGTTGCGTTTTACTGTAACGCTCCACACCCCGCGGTGAGTCGGGTGTTTGTTTCCATGCTCCAGGCTTACAACCCGAAGTTAGTATCACTCTGTGGCCTCCCCGGCATGGCAGCAAGAGCCTGCCAGGCCGGACTCTTGGCTTCCTTTAGTTCCGTGGTTGACCTGGTTAGAGACATCCACTATCACTACCACACCAACCCACCTGTTAGTGGCAGTCTGAAAGGGCTATTTTCTGAGCGTTATGACCCATCCCAGCCGATCTCTGCGCAGTGTTTGTTTATCATACAAGCTGTGCAGGGGATTGTATGCAGCTGGAGGCCTTTAGTGGAGTATTTTAAGTCGCTGCATCAAGTGGAGGATGCTGACCGGATCAGAACCCAGCTGCTGGATCATGAAGTGAAACTTCGCTTCATTTTCCTCTCCCACATGTTGGAGCCCCTCCAAGCTCTCCAACAATTGCAGCAAAGCGGCACTGCTGTGGCCGCGGAGCTCCAGCTGACCGCCACGCTGGTTCACTCCTACGCATCCAATGTCCTCCAGCCCATTACCGCCCAGCACTTTTTCAGGAAGCGAGACCTGAGTGTCTTCCAAAAGTGGACGGAGCTGCTCCCGATAACGGAGGTGCACGTAGGTGCTCGTGCCAGAGAATTCCTGTGGGCCACCGCTGTCGTAGATCTGGGAGAAAAGGAGAGGTGGGACTTCATGAAGGACGCCGCGGCTTTCTATAAAGCAGCACTCAAGTGCTTAGCGGAGAGTCTTCCTGAGAATCTTGGAGAAATTGCACTGACGAATATCAACACGGTGCTGAAACATTCTGAAAATATCAGCGTAAGAATATTTTTTTTCCCTTATACTTAGTATACTAGTTACTTAATGTATTAGTTTGTTAAACCTGCATTGGGCTGATTTTAATGTAATATTTTAACGCTTTGTTTCAGAACATACAATTCAGTGTCTATGCTCGACTTAATGTAATCTCTATATTGCTTTTTGTGATCTCTGTGTTTTCCCTTTAGGGTAATAGATTGTCCAGTTATGTGCTGTCAGAGTTGGGCACTGAGCTGGCTCTGTTTAAATATGGGCTCTCAGAGACGCATCAACTGGCAGAGGACTACCGCAAATTCATCAAGACGGTGAAAGTGGAGCATTGCTGGGCAAAGGTACAGTATACTGATAACACAATGGATCACGGGTTGCCTAAAAGTTATCGAATGAAATTTGTAACTGGTTACAGGAATGACTACCTGTGTTGTCTGAAGGTTAACTGAATGAGTAACAGATGTTGTGCACTAGCTCATGAACATTTACAATAATAGAAATGTAGCCACACACCCATTCTCTGACCTTGAGTGCTAACACATTTCATCATCTGTTTTTAATATTTTCCTGTGTTACTCCCATTATACTTTTTTAAAAGTGCTAAATGTCCTTACCAGAGTTGCCTGTGTTGTCTTTACAGATGTTGAATGCCACCAGACCGTACTCTGCTCTGCGTCGACTCCTCCTGACCGCCCTGGCCCTGCCAAGCTCTCTGGACAGGACGCAGGTGTTTGCTAAAGTGAGTGTGAAAAGCTAAATCTGAAACTGACTGGATGGTTTACCAATAACATAATTCAAAAAGGATCCTATTTCACTACTAGAAGTCCTCCTCGACGAATCATCAAACTTCAATGTAATAACAGTTGGTGACTTTTTATTGGTGATTGAAGAGCACAGCTCTGGTTTGATGAATAATTCATGACAAACATCTGCGGCTGAGATCATCAGGGCCACAAACTGTGTTTTACTGGTGTCCAAGTAGCATCTCCGTCGTCAGAAGATCCGGCCACCGCTGCCTGTGCTTCCTGTTTCCCGTCCCGAGCATTAGAATAGAAGACGACCTCACCAAAAAAAAAATCTCACCAATTTTACTTTAAATTGTGTTTTCAGTCAACTTAAATCAAATACAACATAATTTCACAACAACAACATTGTGGGATGTGAATACATAAGCCAGCCTTTTCACGTTATGTTCCCTGACAGCCATAACTTTTTAAACATTTTGGTTAAGATATACTTTAAAATATAAAGTGACATCTTGAGCCCCTATACGTGGAGATAAAGAGATTTCTCTGTGTTTGCTCCTTTCTCAAGGTGTTCAACAAGGCTCTTCCTCCCGCTAAGGAAACCCCCAAAGCCTCACCTCAACTATGCAGTTTGGCAGAAATTCCCTGCATCAGTAAACTAAGGCAATTTGTCCAGGCCAGTAATGGTGACAAGAAGGACAAAGAGACTTCATCAGAGGATGATGACAGGGTTGAGGCCAGACCCGGCCTCCATCTTCTTTCCAAATGCTCCAGCAGTATGGAGGACTCCGACTGTACAGACAATTCCTCTGGTAAGACTGTCACCCAGGTGTGCACTGTGAGAGATCAACATTTCAGTAGTGAAAATCGAATAGCAATTCCAAGTACTGTGGATGATAATAACTAATGTGACTGTTTTCCATTTTCGTCAGATGTGGTTGATGTCACAGAAGACTCCAAAATAAGTCAGAGCAGAAGACTACTACAAACAGAAAGTAAGAAATGTAGAATATTGTTTAAAATCTACTTAAAAATTGAGGAAAGGGCCAGTTGTGATATTTTCTTAACACTTATTTGAGGCTCACATTTGTCGTTTTCGGACCAAACTGTTCTGGGAACGGCATTGGCTCATGGTTCCTCTTGTGCTGCGAGAGCACCTAATCTGAAATAGGAGCTAAAAAAAGTCCCTGAAAACGGCGTTCTAAGAACTACAATCGTTTTTTAGTTCTTGTGGTGTGGACACAATACAAAGGGGGTTCTTACAACTGTGAAACAGTTCCTCTTGTCCGAAAACCCCTACGGTTGTGAACAGTACCTGAGTCCTCTTCATTAAACGCACTTCATCCACAACAGCTGCCTTCTTCGAGGGATAGTTCATATTTGACTTGGTATCCTTCATCAGTGTGTTACTACCTGCAGCAGATGGCAGTCGACACACCCCCAGTTCTGAGAAACAGACAGGAGTACCAGTGTAGGAGCAAAGCAGTGTACTGCTGTGGACGAGGGCTGCAGTAAAACATATTTTAGACACAGTTTAGTTCCCTTTCTGACGAGGAACTCTCCCTTAAAGCTGCATTAAAGCAGGTGCTGTAGATGCTGCAACCCGAAATACCATCCTTCAAAGTACTCGCGAATTAAACGTTGTATGAAATCGACGCATGGTCTTTATTCATTTGGGAATAGTCATGCCAAGAGTTGCTTCAAGATGAACAGGAGAGCCTTCATTTTACCTATTGAATCTGATCATTTGTGAATGAAGTGATTGTCACTGTTTTGCAGGTGAAAGAACTCCACAGTCTGCATTCGTTGAGATCTGTGATGATGACGACGACCGCTGCGTGATTTCAACAAGCAGACCACCAAACTCTGTAGACTTGCTGGTAAAAACAGATTATTCAGATGTGCATCGTTAATAATCAGTATTTTTTTTAGTACAAATAGCCTACTTCATGCATACAGTATATGTATTATATTTTGAGCATAATGTTTTATTCTCATGTTTTGCCAGTTAGAACATGTTTCTGCTAATGTTTAAAAAACATTGTCGCAGGTTACACTAGCTAACTTTGTTACTTTGTATCTGTAACTTGTCCGTGCTGGTGTGTGTTATACAGGATGTGATGGGGGAGCTGGTCTGGGGTCAAGTGGAGGGTTTCTCTCCCTGGCCAGCCGTCATCATACCCTGCAGGGAAGGGATTCAACTTCCAGAGTGTAGGATGGTGGAGTGGTACGGACAAAACATGTCCTCTCAGGTGAGAAGATGTGAGAGTGGAGTACAGTACATAATCATGTACATAAATTGAAGGCCTGAAGCAACGTTAAAAACATGATCAGCATGACAGAGCTTTAATTTGACAGCTTTTTAAATCACTAACATCTTTCTGATACAATTTGTCATTATACCGTTGTGAAATATCTTGTTGAAATTTGTCCAACACCTACACATTGCCATCCATCATTTTAAGTCCCTGAAATATATCATTACTTATGTCCATTTCCATTCTCTGCTCTGATTCCAGGTCAGTTTACAGGATCTGAAACCATTCGCTGCCTTCACCCAGCACTTCTGTACCAACTCCTTCGCCATCCTCGTCACCTACCGAGAAGCCCTCTTCTTGTCTCTGCAGGTCTGAGTGTTTCTCTGTGTGTTTACTCATAAATATATACAGGACTTGATAGAAAAGTGGGTGTTGTGGTAACTGCTTAGACAGCATTCAGTGTCTGTGGGTACAAAATCACAAGCTGAACTAAAAAAGTGTTCATATTGCGATGAATGATTTGTGCTCCTGTTGACATGTTTGTATCCGTGGATTATCAGGAGGCAGCTCTACGTTGTAAGAAGGATTTTTCTGAATGCGTTGGGGACCGAGATGAGCTGCTGAAACAGATGTTGGACTGGGCTTTTGGAGGATTTCAACCAACAGGACCAGACGAACTCAAACCAACAGCTGCCACAAATGGTATGAACATCTGATTTATGGAGAGCCTGAATAGATTTACTCATTACTTTCAGACTGCGGTGGGTAAAATGAGTCTTTGTTAGCGGTAAACTCAGAGGCACTTAACAGAATTATATAGAGATGCTAATTTTTTATTTATTTCTGACTGATGGCAGACCCTCGTTAACCGAACATTAACCATTATCCGACAAGATTACGGCCTTACATGCAGGGGGGCTGCGGTTGAAGTTCCCAGGAAGTCCCCCCCGACATCAGTTAGTTTAGCTGCGAGGTTGTCAGCTCCGTGTCTGCCTGGAATACTGCGTCAGGGTTTCTGCTTGAACGATGTTCCAGTCGAGAGACAAGTTTGCGTGCGATGATGAGTATGAAGTTTACAGTGACGTTATAGCTGTGAACGTAGCAGTGCAGTGTGCGTACAGTTTACAGATCCGATACCAGTGTCTGATTAATACGCTGTATGCCTTGGATCGTTCTTTTATGCGTAAGGCAACATCGGGCTTGACTTAAACATTGCTTTCCTAACTTGAAAAACAAAATGTTACAGTTAAATAAATAAATAAATAGATATAAATGTACTGAATTTTTATTTATTCAAATAATGGTATCCGATATCAGAACGGCCCATTGACACCGACATCCGTTCCAGCTATCGGTGTCAGTGAATCTCTAATTGAAGCATTCGTATGTATCTATTTCCGACAGCTAAAGGCTAGCCTCTCGGGAATTCTCAAGAACCGCTCATCCGTTTGACATTACACTCCCTTAGGTCCTCAGCAATACAACCACCAAGTGTGATGTTGATTGGATGGACGCATTTTAAGATATGTTTTATCCAAACATAGGAACTTGAGCTAAAATGCTAAGGGGAATGGTAAAGTTTAAGGAGCGTGCAAGCACAGCCAGCCCTTCACAATCAAAACCCAGTTTATTGCCAAGAAGGTTTTTACATTCAAAGAATGTGTTTTGGTGCACAACAATAACTATAGAAAGCCCAAATAAAAGCGTTTGTGCCCGGGGTCGGAGGGGTCGGCCACAATCTTTCCTGCCTCTGTCCCGTCTTTGTCAGGTTGACACAACACAGAGAAAACAAAAATTTAGAATGAAGCCAGATAATGTGTCAGCTTCTGGATACAAGTAAGACAGTAGGTGATCTGACACGCATTGTACATATCATGTAAAATATCTTTGCCTTTGTGTGAAATACCTGATGGTCACGTGTATGATTGTCTTCTGTCCAGATGTTACTAAAACGAACAGACCAAAGGTGAAGCTGAAATCTTTCCTGAAGCCCAACTCCTATCGTCCTCCCCTCGGCTCCTCCAGCCCAACGAGCAGAAACGGCAACACTGTCGACACGGAGCCGGAGGAACAGTCGACCTCCATTAGCAAACTGTCACGCAACTCCACAGAGAAGTTGTCTCACCGGGGTGGAGATGGAAAAAGTGCATTAGAGGACGGATTTGATTCTGCGAAAAAAAGCACTAAAGGAGTCATGAAGGAGAAGCAATCCAGGGGAGAGATGGGGAAACAAGCGAAGAGAGGGTGGGAGGGAGAGCGAGAGAACTGGGGAACACGGTGGGAGAAGGTGAAAGGGAAGGTTAAGGGAGGGAAGGCTCAGAAGAAGAAAATCGGTCCGTTTGATGGATCTGATAACGACATGTCACCTGACTTTGTGCCGAACAAGAAGAGGACCATCGCCAAATCTTACAATAAGGTCAACCAGCCGACCAGCAATTACACCCAGCCGGACCAGAAACTCAGAGGTACCAAAAACTGTTGACTGACTGAAAAACGCTTCAAATCACTAGATTGTTAAGAAGGTGTGCAAATGTACGTAATGGGTTAGATTGGCATTCTTTGTGTGGAAAGTCTTTTCTTAAAGGGTTGTTTTGATTTATTGAGGTGGGGCTGTATACGTTACTTATTTGTAGTCAGTGTATTACTACCTACAGTAGATGACTGTCAGTACTCTTCCACACAGGAGTACCAGCACTGGAGCAAAGCAATGCACTTCTGTTGACGAGGGCAGCAAAATGTATTTTATAAACTTTAAACATTTGTTTAAGTGTGCACTATATTTAGAATATTTTCACCGATTTACCTCGCCATCAGACAGCCCTTCCTACGGGCAACAGAAGCTGTTAATGCTCTCTTCAAAGACACAAGACTCCTTTGACAAGAACAGTCATTTTATCTTGCAGAACACGGGTGTTGATGGTCTGCTGTTGATGGTCAGTTAGTTTGTTTGTGTGACTTTGGTGAATTCAAACTAACCCTTTAAAACACCGAAGTCGGAAAGGGCCGTGTAACGAGCTGTAACATGCCTTATGAGCCAAACATATTGAACTGACTTGTTTTATTTACACATGCATACGGTGCCTTGCAACAGTATTCACTCCACTCGGCCTGTTTCATTTTCATTATTTGCATTATAGCCTTCCAAAATAGTCATTACGGTGAAATGAAAAAAATCTGAAAAATACAAAACAGAAAAGCGGTGCGTATGTATTCACTCCCTTTCCTCTGAAGCCCCTAAATAAGATCTACCAATTACCTTCAGAAGTAACATAATTAGTTGAATAACGTCCACCTGTGTGCAAGTGTCACATGATCTAACAGCGCACCATTAAATATGTTATTTACAAAATGGGAAGAATATGGCACCACAACAAACCTGCTAAAAAGACCAAAGCTCACGGACCAGACAAGGAGAACGTTAATCAGAGAGGCAACAAGCTGAACTCAAAACCAGCTTGTGCAACTGGCTGGATTTTATTGCCAGCTTGGATTTTGTGCAAAGTAAAATGTTCCACTGAAAATTCACAATGTCAAGTCAGAAATAATTTGCAATACTAATCTACTCAAATTTGTAAAGAACACCTCCTGCATTAAATGCAGCTCAAAGTACTTGACATAAAGAAGTAGTCGGTTATTGTTTTCTTTCCTTGCAGAGGTTACCGTCCGTAGAATCGTGAACATGAAGCTGGACATCGACGGTGAGTCTTTAGGCATATTGTATATATTTTCAGTTATAAATTCATTCCCTTTTTTTGCACAAATAATCAAATTCTTTAGGGTTGAAATGATGAGTCGGTGATTAGTGGCCCTGTTTACATGTGCAAAGTATTGTAAGAATCGCCAGTGAATCTCTAATTCAGCTTTTAAATGTTTAAATAACATTTTAGTTACTGAGAGGAACTTACAACTGGTTATGAAACAGTCTCAATTGAATACTGATGCTTTTATATGACCTACATAAGTAAACAAGCCCATCAGCAAGACGATTGACTATTTCTAAATAATTATTCCTTGATGCTTTTTATCGGTGCGTCCGGGTCGGATTCGTTAGGAATTCGGATTTAATCATCAGCAGGCTCACCAGAAACTCTGTCGGCTCAGACTCCAGCGGCCGGCCCACTGCAGACAGACCCAGTTCCGGCATCGCTGTCGCCTTTGACCTGCAGTCAGAAGTTCTGCACAGGAGGAGGAGAACTCAGCGCAATCTGCAGCAAAGTCTCCTCCTCTGGTCAGGAGCAGAGCTGCAGGAGACCCATGCCGTATTGCTGGGCCAGCTGGAAGGAAGGGTGGCTCTGAAGAACCAGGACTGTACAGAGCAGACTGTCAGACCAGGGTGCAGTAAAGTAAATGAGTTTATCTGACGGGAATCTGGTGATCGGAAACACTACTACTTTCGTTCACAGGGACTGCTGAAATTAACACAAAATGACAGTTCCTTGTAGTACTTTAAGTACTTCACAATTATGGTAAAACATAATAAGTATGCTGTTTTATGTAACTACACCACTATGGATAATTTCACTTCCTCTCTCACTCATTTGTATCCGTGTTTGTATTTTGTTGGCAGGCTTCTGTTTGTGTTGTGGAACCGAAGACGTTGAGATATTCCACCCTCTGTTTAAAGGCAGCCTCTGCACCGAGTGTAAAGTAAGCAATCATCAGCTTCTCTTCATGTTACAGTGCAGTTACAAACAGTAAGTGTTCCTCCGTGGACTGTGACTGTGAGTTACTCCATTCTTTGACGTAATCAACGTTGATTTAAAAAGAATACGTTCATTTGCATGACCTGCTTCGGCACATCGCAAGAATGGTTGCGTCCGGTGACAGCATGCGTCCGGTGACAGCATGTGTTCCCCCGGAGAACAAGCTGCAGCTAACAAACCTGCATGTTGCTCCAGTGATGAAACGCTTCCATAGCATAACCACTTTACCTTTTGAGTCCGTTACTGAGGTAAAAATACGGATTCTCCATTTCAGGGAAAGGTTTGCAATGCCGTACAATGATTATGTGTTACAGCATTTTTCTGATAAGGCATATGACAAATAGGGTCTATAATATAGTTACATTTGTTGTTTTATTAGTTATAAATCAACTAATATAAAAGATAATCGCTGGATTAATCTATAAGAACATGATGGCAGCCCACACTGTATTTCCTCCTGTGGTGTAAGTCTGTTGATCTGTCCCTAACCCCTGGCTGTGATGCTGTTTGTGTCTTTGTAGGATAACTTAACAGAAACTCTGTATCGTTACGATGATGATGGATATCAGTCCTATTGTACCATCTGCTGCTATGGACTGGAGGTCATAATGTGTGGCAATGACAGTTGCTGCAGGTTGTTCATCTTTTCCTCTACGTTTCAATCTAGCTTGAGAGCCCAGTTTTTTTCCTTTGTTTAATTGCTTTTCTACCTCCATCCTCTTCTACTTAGATCTTATTGCACAGACTGTCTGAGCATCCTTGTTGGTCCGAGGACGTTTGAGTCATTGAAGCTTCTGGACCCGTGGATCTGCTACTTGTGTCAGCCTCATCGACCCCACCGTGCTCTGATTCCCAGAGAGGACTGGAGCATTCGTGTTCAGGAGTTATTCGCCAACAACAGTGCCATGGAGTTTGTGAGTGATCGACATTTTAACTTTGCAAACTAAGGCTGCACCCTACATTGTTTCAGCGCAGACACGGCGTCTTCTCAATGGGCTGGGTCCAAACGGTCTGCTCTTTGTGTCCAGAAATCTTAAGCCTGTGGTTTTACCAGCATTCATAATACATTATACTATTGCATTTTTCATAGGACATGAATGGGGTAAATTCCAGATAAATATATAAAAAAATATAATTGGCTTTTTATTTTTTTATTATATATTTAAAGATGAACTTAACTGATTCACTATGTATCGTATAGTATTAAATAACTAGAATACTACATTACAGAGCATCCTGTGTACTAAAACGGAACAAGCATTTAACCACAGAGTGGATTTAAACAACAGGTCAAAAAATAAGGGACGAAATTTGGAAGTTGCAAAAAATTCACACATTGCACAAACAATGATCTTCTAAAATACAGGTTTACATCAATAAGGAATCACACTGACTTTCTTTTGCTTCATAGGAGCCTCACCGTGTTTACCCGTCTATTCCTGCAAACCTGCGCAGACCGGTCCGAGTTCTCTCACTGTTCGATGGCATAGCAACTGGTGAGTGCTGGGGCTGTTAAAAAACACATGCGTTCAAACTATTCAAAATGACGTTGTGTCCTAACTGGCCGTGAGTGACGCAGCAGTGCGCCGTTGAGAGCTGAGCTGTTGTCGGGCTCCCTGTTTCTAGTTATTCCTGGAGCTCGCTTACGAGATGTGGTTGTGGGAAATTGGCGTACAGATTTCCCTGAATAACGATCCATGCTCAACTCAATCAGAGTTTGATGATCAGATTGGTTGATTTTAAATTATAATCACACTTTATTGTTGTTTTAAAGAGTGTTTTCCTCCTGACTCGTTCCCGTTGTCTATCGGAGGCTTACAGCATGTATATACGTGTCTGTATGTATTATTTTCAGGCTACCTGGTGCTGAAGGATCTCGGCTTCAAAGTAGAGAAGTATGTCGCCTCGGAGGTCTGCGAAGATTCGCTTGCCGTGTCGGCCGTCAACCACGATGGGAAGGTCATCGACATTGGTGACGCCCGGTTCATCACCCAGGAACATGTAAGTTCTGTATATGTAAGTTCTGTATATATATATCTATATCTATAGATATAGATATAGATATAGATATGGATGGATGGATGGATGGATGTTTATTCACATCCTTCCACACAGTTGACATTGTTTATGTTCGTCTTCCTTCCTGCCATATTCTCTGAAGCTGTGCCTTTGGCTGACAATAATATCTGACCCATTTGAATCTTAACTTCTATTTGAAAATGTAATTTTGTTGTTTTGAGTCATTTAGAGCTCAACTGATGTTGCTGAAATGACAGTTTGCTCAATATTAAACTAATCCAGCTCCTCGTTCCTCTTTGATGAACCAGATCGATCAGTGGGGTCCGTTTGATTTGCTGATCGGTGGCAGCCCCTGTAACGACCTCTCTATCGTCAACCCAGTCAGAAAAGGCATTTATGGTGCGTAACTTGCATGCATGTCAGCTTTAAATACATTGATTTTCAAAAATTAAGAATGAAAATGTGAAATGGTCAGTTCAGTGCTACTTCCACATATTTCTGTAGTTCAGACATAGTGGGTATTTTCAGTTCTTGGAACTTGATGCATTTGCCATTATTGTTTGATTGTTTGAAGACAATTACTCAGTTGATTTAATAAAATAACTAAAAAGAGGTAATCGGTAGTTGCAGACCTGATTAATCACAGATGACAAAAATAAAGAATATTTTCAGCCTCTGCAATGATTTCATCATATCCAAATCTAACGCAATGCGTTACATTAACGAACATGTCTGCAAATATTGGGTTGTCATCATTTTCCACATTTTAAAACTGACATTTTAACTTCTTTACTGTTAATTTCTATTTTATATTCATGACTTTGACCTTTGCATTACATGTTGTTTCTTATTTTACTTTATTAATTATGCTTTCAACCTTTATTTATACTTAAGAGATTATTGAGAGGCAACCCTCATTTACAGTGACATCACTTAAATCACAGGAACAAAGAAAAGTGAAAACAAAACAACAAAGATATTGGAGCAGAAAAGAGGCAATATAAAATAATGATATAGATAAAAACAGATACTGAAACACCAAAGCCAGATCCCTGTATGTAAAAACCTACTTGGCAAAACAACTATTTATGCTCCTGATGATATTGATCATTTTTTCGTCACTTTTGTTTTGCAGATGCCGTTTATTATTATTATGACATTTCTTCACTGTAATTCTCTTCTCTCTCCATCAGAGGGCACTGGCAGGCTGTTCTTTGATTACTACCGCATCCTTCAGCTGCTGAAGCCCAAAGATGAAGACCCCAGGCCGTTCTTCTGGCTGTTTGAGAACGTGGTCTGCATGAACACGCATGACAAAGTCAACATCTGCCGCTTCCTCGAGGTTCGCCCCGTCCAGTTGTGTTTGGTGTCGGCGGATCCTTTTATTTCTTAAGCGCTCTTCTTTTCTTCCTCTATCTGTCCCCTTCATTCCTCCTTTCCTTAGTCCTTGCACTGCTGTTTTTCTCTATCTAACATGTTTCACACTCAGTGAGAGTGACTGTTGCTGGTATCTGATTCTTCCACAGTGCAACCCTGTGCTGGTGAATGCAGTCAAAGTCAGCCCTGCTCACAGAGCGCGTTGCTTCTGGGGAAACATCCCGGGGATGAGCAGGTGAGACGTCCAATTCAGAACCATGAATCATAGGGGGTCAATTACTGTAAACTACTGGTTTCAAACGATGTCTTTGACTGGATTAATATGGTGTTGTTATCAAGGATTATTGTTGTAAGTATTGTATACGTTTTGCTCATTATCTTTGTCTTTTTTTGCCCGCTGTAATAGTATAATTTCCCACTCGGATTGATAAAGTGCTCTATCTGTCTGTAAGACGAGCAGTAATGGTGCATTCTAGCTATTCCATATGGTCTTTTCTCTTTTTTATTTCCATATTTTTGTATTTCTTTATCTGGTAAAGCATTTTGTTACTTCTATTTCTATTAGAAAAATAAGATTTGTGGTTTGCTGCTTATTTCCCATCAGGCCCATTACAGCGTCCCAGAACGACAAGCTGAATCTCCAGGACTGTTTGGAGATCGGTAGAGAAGCCAGGGTCAGTGACTGAACCTGCAGATTCAATTTCATTCAATTATCTTCAGTCCCTCTATTTTAAGTACCGAACGTGTTTTTTATTATTATGATTACGATGTTCATTTAGGTATAGATTATCAGTCCCTTCATGTTGTTTTTGTTCCAGGTCTCTAAGGTGAGGACGATCACCACCAATTCAAACTCTCTGAGGCAGGGCAAAGGGGACTCTTCTCTGCTGCCTGTCCTCCACAACGGCAAAGAGGACATCCTCTGGATCACTGAGCTAGAAAAGTAGGCATCACAATAGTTCTGTTTAAGAGTGTGTGGGTCTGTGTAGTATCCACATACAGATGTTGGTTCATGATCCTGGTCAGATCCCCTGTGACCATCCTACTGACCAGGATGGAACAACTGAAGTATCACCGACAGTGGTTATTGCTAATGAACTATTTGTCATTTCCTGTTCATCTAAGTTCAGTTTCATCTATGAACTTCTCTAGCATCAGCTCCCAACTTGCTGTACTGGAACTAGCTCACAATGACCGGATTCACACTATGGAGGAGCTGCGGGATATCAACTCATCAAAAACACTAAAAACAATATGAACTCTTTAAGAGACAAATCTGTATTACTTTTTAAAACGTGTAACAGCAAACTGCATGAGAGCAGTTCAACAAAGGGAAGACAAATGTCCCACCTCACCTTATCTTTTAATAATCCCGAGAGCTGCAACTGTTTTAATTATCAATTAATCCGCCAGTCTGTGAAAAATCAGAAAACAATGTCCTAGAGTTTGAGGCGATGTCTTCAAATGTGTGGTTGGACCAACAGTCAAAAACCTGACGATGAGCTAAAATGGCTGCCTAGTCTATTTTTGACAGAGACTCAGGGAGTTGCACAGAGCAGATTGAGGGCAGGAAGTGGAACAGTTAGAGCATCTATCAATCTTCTAAATAAACACCCTTTGCAGACTCCTGATCACTGCCGCCACAAATCTTTGATCCATGTTGTTCATAATTGGGCGTTTAACGATATTCAATTTGTCTGTAGGCTACAGCACAACAAAGTAGGAAATAACCATAAACACAATTAAAATAGACACAAAAAGAAACTATTTAACTACATAGGCTACTGGTAGAAGCACAAATATCCAGGAAATGTGAAAGTAGCGCATGCAAAACACACCTCTTGTGAAACGCTCCAGGTGTGATTTGAAGCCGTGCTGTGCAAAACCGTGGCCCAGCCAGAACGTGACACAGCCTCGCCCAGTGGAATCCCGGCGTAAGTTTATCAACCTGAGACTCCAGCCAATACATACTGCATGACCTTCCCCTTTCTTTTTCACCAGGATTTTTGGGTTCCCCAAACATTATACCGACGTGAGAAACATGAACCGGCAGCAGAGGCAGAAGGTGCTGGGGAAGGCCTGGAGCGTGCCGGTCATCCGTCACCTCTTTGCGCCCCTGAAGGACTATTTTGCCTGTGAGGAGCTGCTTCCTTTGACCACCTCCAACCCTGCACCCTCTCCGCCCTCGCCTGCATCTCCGGAACTGCAGCAGCTGAGATAGAGGGGAGTTTGGCAATGTTTTGTATATTATTGTGTGTTTGTGTGGAGGTTTTTTTCCCCCCACCACATGTAAACACATGTGAAGTCGGTGGAGCATTAATGAACTATGCAGTCCCTCTACTACTTTAAGCTCACAGACAGGCTTGTGTGGATCACTGCCACAGGGACAGAATGGCTAAACACCTGAGTCTCTTGCATCTGGTCACACATGCAGTTTGTGTGCACAGCCAACAGTCACTTTGGCTTCCAACGCTGCTGAAAATGACAGATCCTGCTCCCTCCAGCTCGTGCCTCTGTTCATTTTCCTCCCAAACCTCTCCACCTACTGGAGTTTTAAAGACACTGTCATTGTTTACACTTTCATCTGGTATTTCTGTGCAGGAGGAGTTGAGGTCTATCACTGTCAACAATGGTGCTGTCTGCCTATGAAATACCATCACGAGCATAAATGTACTCATCTAAATTATTTGTTTGTATCGTCAGTATTTACCATGAATATTGATCACATATCCTCAGCTCATACATGCTTCCACATACGGCATAAACGCTTGAGCTTTTTATACATTTTTTTTAAATGGATGACCGCCTCTACATTTGAATTATAAATTAATTATAATTTAAAAGTGTGAATCATGTTCAACTGAGAGCTGCCTCACAACTTTACTGTGATATTTGAATGATGTTTGTTGTTTCCAGCTGAAAAGCAGAACTGTGTGTGTGTGTGTGTGTGTGTGTGAGAGAGAGAGAGAGAGACTCGCTGCCACTTTTACACGAACAAAACTGATGGACGGAAGAGCCGTTATGCTGCTGTGGTGCTAATACAATAACAAAGAAGCCACACTGATGATTACAGGTAGCTGCTGCCTACAAATAGTCATCTGTATCATGTTTAACTTGAATGTTATGTCATAAACGGAGACACAAAACCTCATTTTACCCAAAGTTGATCATTCTGTGTTTTCACGCCAAAGAAGATCCGGCCGACAAATTATCTTTTTCTTTTTCTTCTACAGGCATCTTATTTGTTGTTAAAAAGTAGTGTTAGGTTTTTTTTTCTTTGTCAGGGGAACTGAAATAGTTTCAACAGAATCCTTATGTATGTATGTATGTATGTATAGAATACTAATAGAGTGCTGAGATCTATTTTCATTGATAATTGCATCATGAATGTGGGTTTTTGAGAACTTTTCTTTTCAGTGAAGGGTGTAAGTGAGCTGTACAGTATGTTTGCACATAAGACCAGGAGGATGGATTCAGAGGTATGAAGGTGTGAATCTTCAATATGTAACGGTCCATATCATCTCTGTACCAGATACAGTTTTTTAATGTTTGAGGGACACACTGTGTTTTTTAACAAGTAAATGTGAATGAAAATAAGTGTGAATCAAATAAAGATCTTTTTTTTTTACTTAAGAATGTTGACAAGTCAAATAAAATGAAAACATCTAAAAAAAAAAATCCCAGGGATGGCCTCTTTATTCAGTTTTGTTATTCATTTTTAACTTAACTTTTTGCTTTGGCTACATGGCTAAACAGTGTGATTGTGCAGTAGTTTAAGACTCACAGTTATATAGTTCTATTATTAATTCATAATGTGTCATTTCATCCACAGGCAATATGAATTGATATACAGGCAATGAGAAAATAGATTTTCAAAGCCAAAAATTAAGGAGAAAGTACCAAATGTAGTCTGACTTCTTTTTCATTTTGATTGGTTAATAGTCCATTTATTTTATCGCTATGAAGAAAGCGACATAATGTAACTATATACATCCAGAGAGAGGTAAAGGAAAAAAATAAATAGAAATGCTTGAACACAAACCAATACAATAAGGGGAAAATAAATAACTAAAATGATGGATGCTCCTTCAATTCAATTTTATGAAGATGTCCATCTTTAAGTCAGTAGCAGTCAAAACCACACCCATTAATGCATTGCTGGTGGAATCCAGGGAACTGCCATTACATCTGAGGAGAACTAAGTTAACACTATAATACTCGATTAGAATTCAGGGTGGACTTATTAAAAATATATAATATAATTCAGACGTCCGTCAGAGTGAGAAGTGATAGAAGTAAAAGTAGAAAAGACGTTACTTTCAGTAGATTAAGGTTAAGACATACAGGACTCAATGACACGTTATACATCATGAAAAAGACAGTGTTGGATAAATGTGAGCTATGCAACGGTAAAGAAACTGTTGAACATGTGCTGATAGAGTGTAGGAAGTTCAGTGTGGAAAGAGAGAATGAAGGGCAGGGTGGTAGTTTTAGGAAGGGAGTGGAGCATCAAAGGACTGTTGGAGACAGAGGACAAACAAGTTCAGGTTAAAAGGGCTTTATTTAAATTTGTGAATGGAACAGGTTTAATATCCAGAATATAACTTCTATATGAAGTTTTTTCTGTGTTGGTTTGTTTCATTGCTTTTTATTTTATTTATAAATAACATTGTTTTTAATTAAATGATAACTGTCATAAAATCATGATGTTACTCCGGTACAGTAGGTGGCGGCGTGCACCTTAAACGGTGGTTTGTAGTCCGCCAATAAAGAAGAGGAAGAAGAAGCCCTTTAGGCGTTACCCCCTGGTTACCCCGTTCCGTCCTGACGTCAAATTGGTTCTTCCGCTGCCGGTAGAGAGAACTCGAGCTGCCAAGAAGAAGAAAAAGCAGAAGTAGGTGTACCATCGAAACAATTACAGATAACGTTAGACCTCTTTTTGACACAGAGTTACAGCCGTGAAAAATAACACCATCGTGTCCAAGATCTGTGAAAGCCAATCCACTCCAGGTAGGTTTAACTGCGCTGAAACACGGCGTCATTTAGCGTTATTAGCCGGCATGTGTGACGGCGGCTTGTGTTGAGGCAGCTAAGCTCTGTTAGCAACGATGCTAGCTTGTGACTAGCAGGGACATAGCTAATCGTTTGACTACAAGTAAAGCAGCTAGGGCGAGGCTTCCTATTTATATAGCTCCTATCTGTAACTGTTGGATGAAGCGACGACAAAGCCAGCGCCTTCGAGCTCCCATACTGAAAGTTCACCGCATTAACAGTGACGAGCTAACTGAAGCTAGCGGGGGGCTTGGTGAGTTCAGGGCGGGGAAAACGTCTCAATGTCCGGTTCACAATAGCCGGTGGTCGAGTTTAGCCGGTGACAGAAACTAAATTATAGCTACATATTGGTCGCCAATACAAGCAAAAAGGCAAATAATTGAATCAATTTTCTGTAAGAGCAGTTAACTAAAAATATACTACCAGTCTGTTGGTTAGCCGCATAGCTAAGCTAGCTATTTAGGACGCTAGCTAAGTTATCTGGTCAGTTGGCTAAATGCTGCTACCGTTAGCTCACAAGTTTCTCACCGGGGGCCCTGTTGGGTTTAGCTAATGGTTATTTGATATTAGCCGAAAATAGTTGAACTACATCAACGGTTATTTTATTGTTACACATTAAATTGGCCGTCATGTCATTAAACCTATGCCATTTTAAAATGCGTCACATTTTGTCCAAAATCTAAATTCAGTGGTGAATTTAGATTTTTTTTTTTTTTATTTATTTATTTTTTTTTAACTACAATAACCACAGAGCGAAAATACTCTGTTACAAGTAATAGTCCTTCACTCAACAAGTTTTAAGTTGATTTATATTTTGTATTAATGATGTAACAAAATTGCAAAGTAACTAAAGCAAAAATGTAATGCAGATCAGAAGTATGAAGTAGCATAAAATGGAAATACTAATGTAAAGCACAAGTACCTCAACATTGTTTTTAAATACAGTAGTTGAGTGAATGTACTTGGTGACATTAATCAGAGAAAATTATCCATTTGAGAAGCTGGGAGCAGAGAATGTTTGTTAATTCTACACAAACTGATTGTCTACTTCCTTGTTGTTTTAGCTCTAGTACATTAATAGTGTTAGCCTAGTTCATTTAGCTGCACCATATTGTTCTGCTTTGAATTCATTCAATCCATTTTGAATAAAAGTGTTGGGTGTTTTTGTTTCTCAACATCTGACAACTCTATGCTTAATGTAGATGCCATTATTTGGCCATTAAATATGTCCAAATTTTTAATCATCAGTTCTTAATCATGCTATTTACAAACCAGTTTATAGTGAAACATTCCTCATAATGATGACACGGCATCAAGGATGCATATTAACTCTCCGTTCACCAGCTTTGTGCCGGTACATTTGTATGTGACCGGTTAGTTTGTCTGCTCTACCTTCCACTCTGACAGATAAAGCAGTCGTCATGTAAATCTTTCTCACTCTTGTTCTCCTCTCTCCGTCAGCAGGTGACCGACAATGGCTGTGAACGTGTACTCGACCTCAGTGACCAGCGACAACTTAAGTCGTCATGACATGTTGGTCTGGATCAATGACTCTCTACAAATGAACCTCACCAAGATAGAAATGCTGTGTTCAGGTAAGAAATGTATTCGTTAAAATCTTTCTCTTATTATGGGAGTCACAGACGTGTTTCATTAACCGATTAGTCGTCAGACCTCTTAAAACAGTTCCGGGTGAGTGTCGGCATGCGTTATGTTTTGCATCACCGTGTTGTACTGGTGTTGTACTGGTGTTGTACTGGTGTTGTACTGGTGTTGTACTGGTGTTGTGGTGCACAGTGCCAGTTGCCGCTGATGCTGAATAAGTTAACAATACAATGCAAAACACTGAAGCTTCTGCTTTTATCACACGAGCCAATAAAACATGTTCTCGTATGTTGAGGCTTTGTTTCATCAAAGATACACAAGAACATTTCATTTTCACAGGTAGCAAACTGCCCACAGTGTGCTTATGTTTACTGTCTCAGAATGTCTAATTCTTTATACCAAATAAAACCCCACTGCACAGCCGTTGCCACCAGATACATTGGCTGATGCTGGTTTAAAGGGCGATTTGAGGCCAGCTGAAAAATGTTGTCCTATTGCTTTAAACCTTCTTTTCACACCCATCTGCCTGTGTATACATGTGTTGTACTCTGCAGATTGTCTGTAAATTTGACTGTAAATATCCAAACCATCAGCTCTAGTGTGCAATAAAAAGACATGTCAGAACAGCATATGTAGTTTGCTTTAATCACAGGTGGACAGATGCATTAATCAGCTGGCTTTTTCATCTGCAGAGTTCATATCAAAATAAGAGATTCTATCATTTTGGAAAGAAACTATAAAAACACTATAATAACTATAAACAATATGGAGTCTCTGTATTTTAAATCATCAGAGTAGTAAATGAGTTTTGGGATGAAGTGATTTTTAAGATGTCTCCTGTTTGTAAATTCCCATCATGTGCCCTTGAGCCAGGTAGTCAGCCCTGAGCGCTAGTTCATTGACTAACAGTACAGAAGAAATGTTTAAAAAGAGCTAAAGAGATGTGCGAGTGTGCCATACCTGTTTTAAATATGGAAATATCTGTTCTCACTTGAAAGGAAATTGAGCTTTATTATCATTTTACTCTGCATGTTGTTCTTGTTTTTAGGCGTCCTCTCATTTTCAATAATCAGCGCAGAATCAGAGTCGTTTTTTATTTTTCTGTATTGTGCACTAAGTGGACTTGTGATGTAATTGTTCTGTTGATCATTTTAATTGTTAAGGTGCTGCATATTGCCAGTTCATGGACATGCTGTTTCCCAACTCTTTGCCTCTGAAGAAAGTCAAATTTGTTGCCAAGCTGGAGCATGAATACATCCACAACTACAAGCTTCTGCAAGTTTCCTTCAAAAAGATGGGAGTCGACAAAGTAAGTAACATCACACACGGTTTCAAATTACATGACGCGTCCTGCATGAGTGCACAAGATCTGAAAATATATGAAAGAATTTCTGATATTGGAGGGCACGTTTTTAGTTGTTGGTTGACTTCCTTTTTGAGGGCTTTGGGGCAAAAAGAGAACTTTTAAACAAATATTATCTTAATGTAGTTCATAATATGCAGCCCTCATATGTGAAATGTTCATACAGTCTGAAACTTGTGTCGATGCCATGAGCAACGTAGATAAGAGCCTGTAATGCAGGCTCTGTACACGTGGTTTTCAATACATCAGGATCTGTCTAGTTTTGTTCACTTTGACAACAGCTCACTGTAGCGGCATTTATTACCATTTCCCCCTTTTAAAATATTTAAAAGGGATCCAAACATAATGCAATATGTTGTGACTCTAAAAAGTCAAGTTTATACAAAAGTGTTCTCAGGGACAAAATAAATTCTGGAGGCAGTGGTTTAACAAAACTGGCCTTTAGTTTGTCATATTTGCATTTCATATTTGATTGCTGAAAAGATTATGAAAAGTATTTTGAATAGAAGTTTATTGCTCTGTCGTTCCATTATTCCTGAGCAAAATACTTCCTTAAAATAACTGTTGTCTGCTAGTATGAAAGCCATGACATGGAAATGGATGCAGGACAACTGGCCTCCAGCTGTGAATGACAATAACATAACCCATTACATGTCATTTAAAGACCATGTTCAAACTATGCTTTTTGCCAAAAATGTCAGTGGACGTAATGTTACAATCCAATCTATGAGGAATCTGCTTACAGAAATGTCCCAATTTGGCTACGGTTGCATCTTCTGGTGCTCTTCTGGGGATCACATGAATAATAACTTATTTACAGCCGTCATCAGTAGCCCTGAAAATGAGCGAACATGAATTATGTTGCCTGATACCCATCAGTCGTCCATTACTGCTGTGAATCGCCTGTCATCCTCTCATAACCAGCTGAGCTGATCATGAGTCGTTTTGTTTTTCCTGAGCGCTTTGTTAGTCTCACTCTTTGGTGCGTGTACGTGCATGTACTCTACATTTTCATCCGTCAAAAGAAATGTATCAGAAATGACCCGATACAACATCATTATATTTCAGTTCAACACATTGTTCAGCTGCTGCCTTGTAAAAAGGCATGCCTGTTTCCTTTTGTATACTACAAGTTGAAATATCTGTCTTAATGTTATTCTTCACTATCGGAATAGAAAGTGAACTGATTAATTTCTTTGAGAACACATCTGGACACTTCATAATGCTTTTGATATTGCCAACAAAGAATGAAATGGGCAGGGCCGATCCATCTTAGTCATCATTTGTTTTGAACATGCAGCAGCCTGCAGGAATATTGACAAAGCTGCCATAATTAATTCATGTTTCAACGTCCTTTCTTCCTGCCTTCCATTTGTTTTTAAGTTGTTGTTCTGTCTGTGCTGTGGTTTAAATGCCTGGACGGTGTTGACTCATGGATAAGTGTAACAGAAGCTTGAGCACGTAGAGCACATCAGTGTATTCATAGCTGTTCAGGGTTATAATCCCCGGCATTGTAGCTGCATCGTGGACTTTTCCCTCGTGCATGCTTGGTGTATTGTCTCATGATGAGCAATTCTTCCATTGCTGAGTAAGGGATTTACTGCTGACATTATTTATTTAGCTGTCCTCACTGTGGCTTTGATCCCGGCCCGCCTTGATTTTAATGTGTGCCAGTACTGAAGACATTATTTTGGGCCTTGAGTCTGACTCAGTCCATCATTTTATCAAGAATGTCAGTAGAAGCTCTCAGTCAGTGAAGGATGTCCCCGTGCAGCTGTTAGTTTTCTCTTCCTGATACTGACACTTGAGATGAACTATTTAAGCATCGTTTGTATGTCTGTAATGAGTTACATGAAGTAATTTTTTTTAATCTGTAGTCTTGAGTAGTAAGTATTTTTAGTACAGTACAAGATAAAACCACAGTATTTTTTTTGTACACACTAACTTGTGTCCACAGCACCACATTAGTGTGCTTAATTCTTGGTCATAATGTCTATTTTTACTATTGAAATATTAAATATTGCGTGATTTGGATTGTAATTATCTATAATGTATTTGACGTGTTTTACTGTGTAATATACCCTTTTACATTCATATAATGTATAACACAACATACATTTGATGTATTGACACAGAGCAAAAATACAGAAAAAACAAGACTAAAATAGAATATGTGAAACGAAATGGATGCAAAATATAACAAAAAACAATTAAAATTCTACAAGCTTGGCAACTGCATTATCCGTAGAAATGAGGCATTCACTTGATTAGCTGTTGAATCTTAATCCTTGAAATTAAATCGAATCTAGCTTGAAGCAACCTGTCCAAACCTCGTGGCCCTGATTCTCTCCTTGTGCTTCCAGATCATTCCAGTAGACAAACTGGTGAAGGGGAAGTTCCAGGACAACTTTGAGTTCGTGCAGTGGTTTAAGAAGTTCTTCGACGCGAACTACGATGGGAAGGAGTACGACCCAGTTGAGGCGAGGCAAGGCCAGGAGGCCATGCCCATACCCAACACTGCCCAGTCAGCTCTCACCAAAACCCCCAAAAAGGCCCTCGGTCAAGGTCAGAGCACTGGCTGGTTTGAAATCAAACGGAGTAATACTGCGTAATACAGATGCGTACAATCAAAACAGAATTTTCTTTAAGGAAGCAGAAACATTTAGCAGTAAACAATTGCAAGTTAGTACTCCCCTTCTCATCGACTTCTTTTTCTCGCCTCTTCAGCTCCTCAGAGGCCACCTGTCGCCAAGGTAGCGCCCAAGTTGTCTCTCGTCAGTGCACGGAAGCCGAGGGTGGGAGGAGGCGACGAGGAGAGGGCGGAGCTCATGAATGAGGTCAGCCCTGCAGCATGAAAACAAAAACCTGCACCGTACAATTAATATGGAAAAGTGAAATAATGTGTTCCTTCTCCAACAAGCCAACACACTAAAATGAGCTTTATTTGTGTCTTCAAATAGAACGTATCACTGGAGTCACCTGATTAGTAGAAACAAAACTTTAATGTTGTTTTGGCCTTTTTTCCCCCCAACAGGTGGAGGTCCTGAAATCTACCATTCAGGACATGGAGAAGGAGAGAGACTTTTATTTTGGTAAGCTGCGGAACATTGAGCTTATTTGCCAGGAGAAGGAAGGAGAAGGCGACCCCACGCTGCAGAAAATCATCGACATCCTCTACGCCACAGACGTGAGTTCTCATCCGCGTGTATGAAATTAAGTTTAGTCATGTGACTCATTCTGAAGCCCAAGAAGTCGATTGATATAAGAGTTTCAAGTAATTTAATTACTCAACAGAATTCTGTGATTTGACATTCATAATTTGAGCGGCATTCTATGTTTTTGTTATATTTGTCAGTAAATGCCATAAAAAGACCCAAACCACACTGTGTGTGTGTGTGTGTGTGTGTGTGTGTGTGTGTGTGTGTGTGTGT